TTAAGCATTGTACTATTTTAAAGAATTACCTACATGTGATCAAATTGATAATAGAATAGAAAAACAATGGAATCAATGAAACCAGAAGTTATTTAAAAAGATCAATGAAATCAACAGACCTTTAGAAAAAACAGAGGAAAAAAGAGAGAGGATGCAAATAATTAAATGAAAGTGGGAACATTACAACATAAATAAAAAGGATAAGTGATTACTATGAACAACTGTATGACAACAAACTAGAAAACTTAGATGAAATGAAGCAAATTCCTAGAAGCACATAATCTACCTATATTGACTCAAGAAGAAATAGGAAATCTCAAGAGACCCATAATAAGTGAAGAGATTGAATCAGTAATAATAAGAATAATAAAAACTCCTAACAACAACAACAAAAGTCCTGGATCAGATAGCTTCACTGGAGAGTTGTACCAAACATTTAAAGAAGAATTGACACCAAACCTGGGCACACTCTTCCAAAAAACAGAAAAAGAGGGAACACTTCCTACCTCATTCTGTAAGGCAAGCATTACCCTGATACCAAAGCCAGACAAAGACATCACAAGAAAAGAAAGCTACAGACCAATATCCCATATGAATATAGAGGCAAAAATCCTCAACAAAATACACCATGACCAAATGGTATTCCAGGAATGCAATGCTGCAACATTAGAAAATCAATGTAATACATCACATTAAGAGAACAAAGGAAAAGAACCACATGATCATCTCAACCGATGCAGAAAAGGCGTTTGATAAAACCCAACACGTTTTGATGATAATATCACTCAACAAGCTAGGAATAGAAGGGAAATTTCTCAATCTGAAAAAGGGCATTTATGAAAAACTCAAAGCTAATAATATCATACTCAGTGGAGAAATACTGAGAGCTTTCTTACTAAGACTGGGAACAAGACAAGGATGTCTGCTCTCACCACGACTACTGAATATTATACTGAAGTCTTAGCCAGAGCAATAAGGCAAGAAAAAAGAAACAAAAGGTATCCAAATTGGGAAGGAAGATGTGAGACTATCCCTATTCGCAAACAACATGATCCTATATATAGAAAATCCCAAAGAATCCACAAGAAAGCTTTTAGAACTAATAGAAAATTGCAGCAAAAGGGTACAAGGTCAACACACAAAAATCAGTTGGGTTTCTGTACACCAGCAATGAGCAATCTAAGAAGGATATTAAGAAAACAATTCTAATTATAATAGCATCTAAAAGAATACAGTACCTAGGAATAAATTTAACCAGGTATGTAAAAGACCTATACAATGAAAATTATAAAAGATCGCTGAGATAAATAAGACCCTCTGTCCCCCCAGCAGGTAGAGCCACTGCCAGCACAGTCAACATGCAAGCCCCTGAGATAGCGCAGCAGTCTGCCCTTGACCTTGGCACCACCAGTGGCCTTGGCGGTTGCACTTCCAATCATGATGGCAAGGCTGTGGCTATGGTATGTTAGAAATTAGGGTTTTCAAGAATGTCTGCATTAAGCATTATACTATCTTAAAGAATTACCTATATGTGATCAAATTGATCAACTTGAAAGGACAGATGAGAAGCTTAGGGAGCAGAGAGTTTGTGTTAATGAGGGTGAAATAGCTTGGGAAAGGTTGTTGAGAAAGGTGGCACAACTAGAAGAATGTAACCAATGTCACTGAATTGTATGTGTAGAAATTGAAGGGATGTATGTTTTGTTATGTATGTTTTCACCAAAAATGAAATAAATCAGGGGTTTCAGTTGTGATTTCAGATTCTCAGATTGTGAAAAAGCAGCACCACTGTGCGAAGCATAAGCAGCAGTGTTCCCAAATGATCTCATAGCCACAATGGTGATCTGTTGTGTTGGCTCTCCAGCAGGGCCCCAGAAGGACCCAGAAGGCTTGCACTCTTTGCCTCCAGTGCCCAGCCCCACACGTTCATCACTCCTTTGGCATGCCCTGCTCAGTGCTATGGGCCTGTGCAAGGTGAGGGCCACAGAGGCCATTGTCCAGGGCCTGCTGGGCTTCTAATGGGGTTTAAGCCCCATGAGGGTGGAGACTGGTGCTGGTGCCGCTTGGGTAAAGACATGGTAGTAATACTGGAATATTTAAGAATTGCTTTACCCTCTTCTATTTGATTTGTCGGAATTCTACCAGACTAAGTTTTGTTTCACAGGACAGGCATTTAAAGAGAAAATAATTTAAAAAAAGACCCACTGTCATCGAGTTGGTTCCGACTCATAGCAACCCTACAGGACAGAGTAGAACTGCCCCACAGAGTTTCCAAGGAGCGCCTGGTGGATTCTAACAGCCAGCCT